GACACCCAGATGACAGAAAGGAGCTGGACTTGGAGGGGCTGCGAGGCTCTCGGGGAGCCAAACCACCCCGGGCGGGGAGGAAAGGAGCAGCCGGGGGGCTCCCACCCCGTCCCACCGCTGGTGGCTGCGGGAAGGGAAATGCGTTTTGGTTTTCTTCTGCCAAAGAGGATTTGAAAAGCAAAGGGTGAAACCTGGCTGACCAAAACCATCACGTGTAACGCAGGATTTCACTTTCCCGTCAGGTGTGGGAGCTGCTGTTACACCCACAGCAACCACCAGGGAATGAAGGTACCACTGGTATTGAAGACTTGGGCACAACAAGTGTCAAAGCCATGAATAAGAGCCTTCCTGCCTTGTCTTTTATGCTAATAGCCAGAAACCACCCCTCTTCTGCCCATCGTACGGGCTGGGCATTCACTCGGATAAAACGCAGGGAAGAATGGCTCTTGGAAGCTCCAGAAACCGCTGCTGGACTTCAAAGTCACACTGGTACTTCTTTCCTACTGTTCTCAGATGCATCGCTCCGGATTGGTAAACGAAAGGGATTAAAGCATTTCTACTTTCCATCGCTTCGTACAGTCAATAGTGCTTTGTTTACCGGCAGCTGCTTCGGTTCCCACTAATCCCACCCCTTCTGCTGCACCGGGGATGGGACGCAGACTGAGGTGACTGTGAAACGCAAGAAGCTCTGGGGTGGACAGAGGACTCACGGCCACTCGGTTTAAAAACCAACCCCAAACTTGGTGTCCCAGGACCTTTCCCATCCCCAGACATTTGGCAGCAGAGTCCTGCAGTGGCGGGTGCAGCTTTCCGTAAACTCAGGAAAACAGGGCAGAATTATCACCCAAGCAAAAATCCTCAAAAACCCCAAACAACTCCCCTTCCCTGAACCAAGAAAACCTTTTTTTGTTTGTTTTTTTTTTTGAGCATTCTGCATAATTAAAGTGGAACAGAGGGAAATAAAACCCAAGAAATTGAAGATGTGACAGAGATGGTGGTTGTAAAGCCACAGCCCTGGGCTCCGGGGTGGGAGCGAGTTACACATCGTACGATCCTTGAACCAACTGGGCGAGTAACAGGGAAAGAAAACTCTCTAATGAATGTAGTTCTTGTCCAGAGAAGGCATAAAGCGCATGCTGTGCCCAGGGAAAATACTCACTTATTTCCAAGGTCAGGGTCTGAGATGGTATCAAAACACAACAAGTGCTGCCATAACCTAGAGATGGTTCTGGCCAAAACCCAGAGAAAAAAAAGCCAAACCTCCAGGATCCCCGTCTTTTGATCTGTCCGTTTTTGGCCTCTGTACTTAGAAAAATCTTGCAAGATTTAAAGATCACCCGAGTACACACTGTGATAATCTAGAAAGAGATCCTTCAGATCTGAAAAGTTTTCAGCATTTGGTCTGTATCAGACCTCACAAGGAAAGGCTTTGCAGCGTTCAGCTATTTGAACGAACACCCACAGGATGTCCTACATATTCAGACTGATAAAATTACATTAATCTTGCATCTTGTGCGACAAAAAGAAAAGGTGAAGATGCGGAAATGTCAGTCCCAAACTCCACGGTGTTGGTTTGGGTTTTCTTTGACCTGAGTTTGATGAGCTTGGGGAGAACAGCACGTGTACGAAGCAGAAAGAATGGGCTTAACGGAAGCACAGAATCTGAATTTAAAGTCTGGGGTTTACCTGCATCAATTTTTTTTGCGCTAACAAATAGTGGGTCTGAATTAAGCTGCAAGCTGGCTGTTTTGAAGGTTTCTTGGGATGCCAGGAGGAGGAAATAAAAGAACTGTAAACAGGATACTCATGCGCCGTAGGAAGTAACACGTAGCAGCTTTCCTTGATTTCAGCACACAGAGGACAGGGGATCTCTCTGCAACAAAAGGCACTTGGGAACAAACCCCGTTGGGTGCTTTGCTGAGCGCAGCTTCATAACTCTGAGAGCAACAGGGTTAGCTAAGCTGTTCTAGGTTTGCTTGTACCACCCTCAGCGCAGGAGAGAATATTCTCAATATCGCCAGGCTAAACAGGCTGTGTTTTCCGTTACGGTACCACTCCTGACACCCTCCCCTCGCTAGATACAAGATTTAAAGTTTTAGTCTGCCTGAAATACAGGACGGTAAAGTGGTTTTCTTTATATTCACTTAACGTTTTAAAACGTATTGCTAGTTTTGTGGGTTTTTTCTCCCAGCCAGGCCATAGCAGCGAACATGGTGCACAGGAAGAGCAGGCTGCTGCTTTAATCCTGAGCGCAAAAGGACGGAAAGTGGATTTTGCATTCAGAAAACTAAATCTGTAGACGTGCTGCAGAATTTACAGCACGTGGCTAAGTTTCAAAGCAACTTGTCAGCCTGTTTAAACACCTCAGTGGGAGATGGGTAAACAGCCTATGTTTTAGAAGACCATAACTTAGCCAGGCAATCGCTGGTGAGCAATTCCATAGACTTACACAGGAGAAAAAAAAACCAAACACATTAACAAAAACTGCTATTTGGCCCTGTGGGCTGTCTGATGGCAGGGAGAAAAGGATCGAGCTGTCAAGCATCTTTTCTCCCGTGCAACGAGTATCTGGGTCAGGCTGCTGGCAACAAGCACGTGTGGCAGCAGCAAAGGTAAGAGTTTCAAAGCCGCCTTTCAAACCCGCTGCGTCAGGTGGTGTTTTGAGGAACAGCCAAAATCCTGACCCTGCTGCTCAGATTGGAAAGTGGGGTTTCCATTGCTCTCCCACGGCTACGGAAGGTTCCAAAGAACACCCAGCCCCTCTCAAAGCTTCCCAGCCAAGACCCAGCCACAAAGCCTGGACCAGGAGAGCCTGGCACACCTGGGTTATTTATGGAGGTTACATTTCAGTATGAACAAAAATGGCTCCTGGTGGAGATAACATGCAATCTCTTTCTTTACAGAAAGGTATTATAGGCCAAGAATTCAATGCATTAGACTGAGGGTTAAGCTAAGAGGCACAGCTATTCCTGTTGGGGCTCATGTGCCCTTTTGAATCCAACCAAGCTCTCGCTTAAAGACATTTTATAGGCGAGACCTTCACATATTTAGATTACTACCTAATCAGAGAAACCATACTTTTGAGATTTTACTGCTATCCTTTTCATAAGCCCAATTTAGTATATTTTTCTGTAGGTCATTTCACAACCAAGTTCATTGCCACGCAATCAACAGCAATCAGATAAGGGCATATTTGCTTCGAGTTTGAACATTTGCTCATGCAGGATATCATAGCAAATGTGTAACTCAAAATGCAACTAAGACAAAGGAAGAATTTACTAAAAAAGGCAAGAAGCGTGCACCAAAGCCACCTACAAAAATCAGAGGGAATTCCAGTAGCTCAAGGCACGCACAGCAAGCAAGCAGCCAAAGCAGCAAACCAGCACAAAACACCTCTCCCCTCCCTGACAGAAGGCACCTCAGAGTCAGTCCCAAGTCATTTTTTTGGGTGTCAAAAGGTCCAGGCACTCCCAGGTGAGGGCAGAACTCACACCTTCCATCTGGCAAAGCCCCGGCTGCTGCATCCATCTCAACACTTGACATTTTACCAACTGACTCACCCACAGCCTGCGTGCAAGAGCAGCTGCCAGCGTGAGCTTTTCCATATGGAAACGATTTGATTTTGAGCAGTTTGCATCCAAAATTGTCTTGATTCCATGTTTTCTCCCTGAGCTTATTTGTTTATGTGTTGCTATTTCAACCTTTAATGCAAGCTTGCTCGGTTGCTACGTTGTCAGAGGATCATTTTCTGGAGAGGATCCTGCTCTTTGCAAGGGTTTCATCTCTCTAAATTACTGCACAGCTGTAACTACTAAGATGTTTCTTAGGTTATGAGAAGATTACAAACTGTGTTCTGTAGCTGGCTTGCTGTAGTCCACGAGGAAAAGATCTTTCGTTATCCAACTTTGCTCCACGTTTCCAAGATGTACCAGCTGCCCTGCTCACGTCCCGGCTCACAAACCTTCCTTGCTCCGATGAGGTTTTCCAACCCCTCATCCTCACAGACCTTAACAACAACACTTAGAGCAAGAGAATATCAAGACAATTCAGAAAGCACTTATTTCCAACAAACAGCAGGCTTGCTTCAACTCTATGCTTCTCTAAAGCTTGCTGAATGGGGATAAATTCTTACGAGGGCATAATTTATGACATTTCCCAAGTTTCAGGTGCTGAACCTTGACAAAGAGTAGAAATTCAGTGAGGCTGTTAGTAGAGCTTAGAGGTCTTCAGCAAAGTATTCTACATTTGCAAAACAAAAAGTCCTTTTGAAACCAAAACTATTTTTTTGCAGAAATTTTTAAGGAAAAACAAACGCAACGTTTTCCAAAAGTGGCAAGTGTAACTTTGGAAAGTATTTTTGAAAACATCCCCGAAATACAACATTTCAGTTCTTCACTCTGAGAAACATGGGTAAAGATGCTCCTATTTTCAAGTAGAAAAAAGGCAAAGCAGTACTCTGTTGACATAGGTTTGGTGTTTGTTTTGGTTTGTTTTTTTAATACTTTTGCATCCAGAAAGGTTAAAAAACCATAGAACATCCATTTCTGCACAGCTAAAAGCAAACACTAAACCTTTCAGCTTCTTTTTCCTCTTGTTACCAGTTTAGGTCAGCGTTTCAGACCGATTCTATACCTGGGCAACATCGCAGGTCTGCGATTTAATTTCTTTCCAAACACACTGGGCTGATTCCATCTCAAATTTTCAAGCAAAAACTTTCCAAGTGGAAAGTTGGAATTAGCCATCGCTCTCCTTCCAATCGGAGAATGAGGGAGCGTTGGGGGTGGGAAAGGGAAGGCTGAGTACAGTAACTGCTGTGTTCAACTTTGAAAAATCCCAGTAACAGTGGAATTTATAAAGACTACCCTGAAAACTAATTATTGGTCTCATCTGCACATGCATTTGTTTGGAAAGACAAGAGAATGTGTCCTCTGGAACCACCACTTTGGGCAGTAGCAGGTTGCAAGTCTGATGGCATCTATTTCTTTTTCCTCTAGGACGAAAGGATTCGTGATGGAGACGTGGTAGCACGGCGCCAAAGCCACCTTCCTGGAATGTGTTTCTTCAGGAAGAAAAGAGGTCACTGCCTTATTTTATGGATGTCGCTGAAGTAGACTTTGAAGCTCTTTGGAAGCACATCCCAAACTTGGCATGGGAAACCACAGCAACAACCATACCTGTTTGACAGATGATTCCTTTAAGTACAACTTGTACGGAGCCGTGTACAGCGTGGTCTTCATCCTCGGTTTGATTACGAACTGTGCCTCCCTCTTCGTTTTCTGCTTCCGGATGAAAATGCGAAGTGAAACAGCCATTTTCATGACAAACCTGGCTGTTTCAGATTTGCTTTTTGTGTTTACTTTGCCTTTTAAAATTTTCTACAATTTCAACAGGCACTGGCCTTTCGGAGACAGCCTCTGCAAGATTTCTGGTACAGCATTTCTCACCAACATCTACGGGAGCATGCTGTTCCTCACCTGCATTAGCGTTGACCGTTTCCTCGCTATCGTCTACCCATTCCGCTCTCGCACCATTAGGACCCGGAGAAATTCTGCCATTGTCTGTGCTGGTGTCTGGATACTGGTCCTCAGCGGCGGAATTTCAGCTTCATTGTTCTCCACAACCAACGTTTCCAACACCAGCACAACCTGTTTCGAAGGTTTTTCCAAACGGATCTGGAAAACTTATCTGTCTAAGATCACGATATTTATTGAAGTGGTAGGGTTCATAATTCCTTTGCTACTCAACCTCACGTGCTCTTCTTTAGTTCTCAGGACTCTCCGGAAACCTGCCACCTTGTCTCAGATTGGGACAAACAAGGAGAAAGTATTGAAAATGATCATTGTGCACGTGGCCATTTTTGTCGTGTGCTTTGTGCCTTACAATTCCATACTCTTCTTGTACGCCCTCGTGCGATCCCAAGCGATAGCAAACTGCTCCTTGGAGAGGTTTGCCAGGACCATGTACCCCATCACCTTGTGCATCGCGACCATGAACTGCTGCTTTGACCCCTTCATCTATTACTTCACGTCGGAATCCTTCCAGAAGTCTTTCAACATAAAAACCCAGATAAAAATGGATTCTCTTTTCAAGACGGAGACACCTCTGACAAAGACTGCGCTACCAGCACCACAGGATGAAATAAGTGACCAGGCTATTACGAACGGAGGAGACCCAACGTCTGAATCGCATTTCTAGCGAGATGTTTACGTGTGGAGTTATCCTCACCACGTGTGAAATTGTTGGCTCAGAATACGTGGGTTCAACACGGTGTTAATGAAGTTGCTGGGGGATACCTACGCCAGTAGACAAATGGTCACACTGGGGTGGTCTTACCAGATACAACAGGTGGACATGAAATACAGAAATCCTACCAGGTCTCCTTTGGAGGTTATGGATGGGTAACAACATATGTGCCAACTACAGAGGGAACAGAACAGCTTCTGCAGTCAGAAGTTGCCAACATTCAGTGGTTTTTCCCCCAACAGTTAACATGGCGCCACTTGGGAAATAGAAAATTTAATTTTCTTAAAGATAGCTGCCAATATTTCATGCCTCTGGAGATGCATCATCATATGTTAACTCAATAAGTTCACACAATATGTATGTTTGCTTAAAAAGGCATAATAAAAGCTTTTGGCTTTTCCTTCTTTCACTGCACGAGTATACATCTTGGTATTACTACCTACAGGCATGCTGAATTTTTTGTATGGAGAGGTTTGAAGTGTAAATAATTGTTCTTAAAGTAGGCAACACAGTAGCTTGGTGATAAAGAGAAAAAATAATAATAGAAAACAATAATTACTAATGGGGTTTTGAAGCAAGACGTTTCATTCCTGTCAGGTTAAGCTGTCTTTTAATTTATTTTAAATGCCACCTCCGGGGCCAAGTAAAGAGCTCACTATTGCTCTGTTGCACCTGAGCTTTTCTGTCCCAAGAGATTATATGCAACTGTTTCTGGTAAGAATTAGACCATAAAGTCAGCTGAAACAAAGAGCCAAAAGAAGAGTAAGAAAAACAAGTTAGCCAAATCCTTTTCTTAGTTGGTTACAGCAATACTTTCTTGTTTTTTCAATTAATTTATTCCATATCCTACATCTCCTTTTATAGCTATAGATGATGGAAATATATGGAAAGTTAACTCTCCATATGTCCTTGCATTTCACTAGATGGTTCATTGCTCCTTCCACTGTTTCATATTTGAAGCTACACTGACCTTGACAGGCTGATTCATTCTGAAGCATAAAACACATAAATGAGAAAATTTAACTTGAAAAAGTATGAAGTTACAACTTGTTAGATCAGCAATCTACATTTTCCAGAGTACAGCACAAAGCTACTCTAGGACTACATTGACAAAAAAAAAAAAGAAAGAAAAAAAAGATAGATTAAATATTAATTGAACAGATGTTTTCTACTAAACTATTTATCTTGCGTCTCTCGGATCAAGCCTCATGAGATGCTGAGAGCTACAGATTGAATGTGATTATTACTTAAAGCAGCCAGAGGTTTTCGAAGTGTGAAAAAAATTCAGCTGCAAAAAATGTTAATGCTTTGAAAGGAATATTTATCTAGCTCTGTATTCACTTTGAATAATAATAATAAAAAAAAGTCAGCTGCTTACCAAGCCTAAGACAGACCCTAGAGATTGTTCTATTTTAGCCCTAAGATAATGGTCACATATCTAGTGCCCCTGGCTTTTGGCTCTTACTGCAGCAAAGGGTACGATCAACCCATTGTGTGCAGGGAGTAGGAAAGCAGCTAAACATTATCTCTCAGCCTTAAGTTACAGCTTGATTTACTAGCAGCTTGCACTCCAGACTGGCTCAGGAGATTTTTTCCTGTACGTTAGCACCACCACTTTGGAGCAGAAATAAAATGTGGAAACGAAAATCATTCAGACCAGCTGGTGGAAGGAGGTGGATGCAGCAGGACAAGGGTCGGGTCGGTGCGGTGAATTTGTCAGCGGCTGGGGAAAATTCACCTCCAGCAGAAGCAATGAGCTGTGTCTTTAGAAGCATCAGCATCTGCTATTTAACCTTACGCAGAGCGACAGCCAGCGCCCTGCCCCATTCCTTCCCACGCAGGCCTGAACCAAACCGTTTAGAAGGCTTTTAAAAAAAATAATTCCCGTTTCCTGCGGCCGGTGAGCCCGTTTCAACACTTGCCATAAGACGTACGTGTTTCAGAGAAGCTTTTTCCAGAACTTCAGATCAAAATGCAAAGCGAGAGGGATCTGACAGGCTTCGACACAAGCAAGGTTTTGCGTGTGCAGACAAGGGTCCTTCCCAGCGCAGGGCTGCCAAGCCGGGAAGAGGGGCTGTGAAACCATCAACAACCCCAAGCTGTGCTAAGAAACAACCCCTTCTGCTGCCCTGCTGTTAACCAGTCCTTAAAAATCCTACTTAGTGAGACAGGAGCTCCATCTTTAGGGATGGGAGAGAGAGGGAAGCATTCACCAAAAAGCTGAGGGTGCAATTAAAACCATCTTCCTATTTGCAAGAAAAATATACGGTATAAGAGAAAGTGCTCTTATCCTTGATTATTTCAATTTTACAGAGAGAGATGAGAAACGTGTTTACATGCCAGCTTGCTCTCGTTGGGCAACATATACCTGTCAGCTTGTAAATCTTATTTTTAAAGCTGCTTCTTCCCACTTGCAAGCAAGCAGCATAAAAAAGATGAGATTCCCGGGTTACGTGATGTTTGGGAGCTTCGTGGGACGAGGCTGTTCTCACACACCGTGGTTGTTCAGTGGCTTCGAGGCGATCCTCAGAGCTGACAGCAGAGGAATATCTTGTTCACAAGAATCCTGGAAGACCTGCTCTGTGCTCTACAGACCTTCCTCTAGTTAAATCCAGGGGAAGAAAAATAAATCTAACCTAGAAACCACTGTCTAGGCTTCTTAAGGAAAGGTTAAAAGGGAGGAGGGGGGGAAAGAACTGCATGTGACTGGACAACCTCCAGGCTGTATGTACACAGCTTAACTGTAATCCGAGCATAACGGGCGTCTTTTTCTAAGCAAAACTAGTGCCAATGCTTAGAGATTTCTGTTTGCAGTTTTATGGGGCAAGAGCTGCGGTCGGTATTCTCCCATAAAACGTAACGCTATCATCCTGCGCCAAAACGCTAACTGAAAAGGTTCATTATTTTGTAATTTAATACCTTATAAATTATATGGAGATCGTATGTTGACTGACACTCACATCTGGTAGGACACTTCTTGACTAATCTTTTTTTCTAGGTCAGGTATACCAAGTAAATGCTCTACGGTTTGCGTATAAATAACCAATTATGCATTCAGAGAGAGGAAAAGCAGTTTTTCAGATGTTGTTAAAGCGAAGCTGGCAGGAGAGGTGATATAAAAGTGGATTCACAGTTCTTCTGGCTGAGGTGTAGCTGAGTGTTCCTTCTCCCCTCCAACAAAGGGCTATTGTCAGCAAATAGCATGAGCCAGAACTATGAGTTTATAAGCAAAAGTCAAATTAATGAGAAGCCGATGCCTTTATTTAGCTGAAGCTGAGAGACAGGACCACAAAGCTTGCAGCTCATTGCCCTGCTGCACAGCTGAAGCTCTGGAGGGCAGTGTCAAAACCTCTCTGCCCAACCTCACCTCTCTGTACGCACACCGACGCAAAATGCCACAAGAGCCTGAGCTTTCTTGCTAGATGTCATGACAGGAGGAAGCAGGGCTTTGTAGTACAGTCACTGTGAAAGCCTCTCCTCTTAGGGTAGGTTTTTCCGAGTAACACAACAGGCTCTACATCAGACAAAAGGTGCCAAGTGTTCACGGAATGACATAAATCTTCACTAGCTTGGTAGAATCAGTGAAAACCACCCAGGCTCAAGCCTATGAAATGCAAGAGCAAGGAGGCAGCACAAGTCGTGTCTAAAAGCCGGTTAAGTAAGGATGAAAAGCTCCAGTGCTGCACGTGCAAGTAGACGGCTGCTCATGATGATCTTCCCAAAGGCCAGTGTCCCTAAAGAGCTCCCCAGAAGCTTTCCACATCAATCCCAGGGGGTGGCTTTGCTGTAAAAACGGGCAGGAAATTACCGTGTTGGAAATGCTGCCTCAGAAGAGGAACAGGAGGCAACAGTGGTTGCTGTGAAAGCAGGTCTACCCCGTGCTCGCTTTGGAGATGCCAAAAGCAGGAGGTGCGAGGGAACCAGAGGGGAGCAGCCGAGGAACCCCAAAGCTTCAGCTGCGTCCGAAAAAGAGACCACAAATAGTTCTCTGGGTAGGATTTAAGAACAGAAACAAAACAGTCCTCATTTCAGTAAGCAGATTATGCTGCTCTGCATTAATTAGAGAGGCAGAGCTGTTCTGGGTAAGAAGTCCAAGCACTGCTTCCCCTCCCTAATGCCAGAAAAAGCTGTAATTTTAACTTCTGAATGCTGACCTTGAGCTTACCCCCAAGAGTCCTGGCTGGGTTTGAGCTGTGCGATCGCTCTCTGACACACTCCTAAGGACCATAACTCAAACTGCCTCCGAGACGCTGTGCTATGGAGATACCTTGGTTAGAAAACTCCGTCTGTGCAACATTCAAGACGAGGCACTCCGAGAGCCTAGGCTGTGAGGAAGACCTACTTCACTCAAAAATAGCATTTAACGCTGCTGGCTCTTCTAGGTTTTATTTCTTTAACTTCCACGCAAAAAACAACCGGAGGGACATACGCCTGAAACACTGACACAAGAAGGAGTCCTGTGGTTTCTCTTTGGGGTCGCCGTGGTTATGTTCTCCCAGATTGCTTAACTGTCTGGTACTCAAGAAAACCCCTGCGCTAGCTTTTCTCCGCCTGGGGGGAACTTTGACCAACGTAAATATTCTATAGAGCTGAACAACATGCGGGTTTTGCACCATTTGCTCTTTTATGTTTCTGTGTGCATGCGTGTGTACAATGAAAAAGGAAAGTTGGTGGTTGGTTCCCCCTCTGCCCCAGAAAAACAGCGTGTGTGGGTGTGCTCATTTACTCCGACTTCTATAAATATATGTATTAACTGGAAAAATATTTAAAGTTTTGCTGTAGACCTCTTCAGAAACTCCAGGTACCTCCGGCACACATGGAAAACTTCCTGGAAACTATAAGTATGGGAAACCAGTTATTCCTTTTTGTTGATTTTTACTAATCCCCCAACTTCTGAGGCAGTGCATCGTTAACCTCAATTGCCTGTGCAGCCATGGAACACTCTCTTGGAA